GGACAAGCAGACTTCCACAAACAGCAGTGCAGGGAGCCAATACCTTTTAGCTGACGGGCTTTCCACAACCTGGCCACACCCTGCTCAGCCAGCCTTAGCATAGATACTCGGTAGAGTAGAGATCAGACTTTTTGAACACAGGATGCAAGACTTTCTCGGCCTTTCTCCTGTTCACGGGATTCTTTGTTCAAAATGTTTTTAGTCGAAGAAAATGATGCGAGTTATAAAATGTCTGTTAGAAAGTGAGTTTTCCTTGCAAGGATCCTGTAATGGAACAAAGGACCGAAGCCTAATCACCTAGCTCATGCTGCCACTCCCACAGCAGTCACTGGGATTACACATGTGCAACTGGCAAACGGGACTTGCTTCAAATGCATCACACTTCTGTATCCCCTCAATAAAAACACGTCTCCATGAACAGATGTGAGCCCTTCTGGCCTGACTGTTACCTGGACACCAATGTAGTTCTGACCCGGTAATGCTGCCATTTAGACATCTAGGTACCTGATTACATCTGCACTTACACCCATTACCTTTTTCCATTGTTAATCATAAAGCTGAAAAAGCCTGGATGTAAGTCATACTATAAATGGCCATTTTACACAGGAATGGGTTTAATGGGTGTTTTGTAGCACTGTTCGCATACTCATGACATTTAATGTATTAACTAGCTGAAAACCTTCATCTCATTTCTGCTACTTCCCTGTTATCTGCTTAGTAGCTGACAGAGACCGAGAGTTAGAACTGATCCATCTAAGGGCTAGGCTTTGTCGATGGACATGCCAATAGGAATAGATGACTTGCATAGTGAAAGAGGTGTTTGGTTTTCTTTTAATAAACACTGACACACATACACCCGTTAGAACTTTGTAATTCTTTCTCAGCCTGCCATATTCCTACTGGACATCCCAGAACCCACTGAGTGCACGGCTTATTTTCCAAAGAAAGATGCACAGTCTTCATGACAAACCAATTTTCCATTGCAATTGTGTCAGCATCTCTTTGTATCTCCCCAGCGACCTTCTCTGCCTCACTTGCTGCATTCATTGTTTTCTGATGTCCAGCACCTCCAACCCCGATGTCATCTATGGATTACCTCCTGCCTGGACCAGCTGATCACAAATCTGTGCTGGCCAAAGCTCTTGAAATGCTGCTTTTTCTAAGTGGCATTTAGTTCCCCTGGCTCTGAGGGTTGCCTAAAAACTGTCACTATATTAATTGGAATGAGCAATAAATGTAACCTCATTTCACCAGCGAGGAGAAGGTCACACTGCACGTCCCTTCACCGGCCCTACCCGTAGCTGACTCACCACAAGATAAACACTCTGACCGTTCACAGATAGGCTGTATAAGTAAAAGTCACAGTGGCCACTGGTGAAGTTCCAGTGCAGAATCAGTGCCATTTCAGGAACACCAGAGGATGAATTTCCAAGTCCCCTTTCACCCTGCTGCTGATGTTACCCAGCTGAAAAAGGCAAAGCTGGAGAAGGGTTTGTGAGCGTGCCCTGGACTTGAGTAACTCTGGGATCAGAGTCCGGCCTGGTCTCAGCATGTGTGTAAGGAGGGAGCAGGCTCTCTGACTCTCTCTCCCCAGGACTTGCACACCCGTGACAAGCACCGTGTCTTTATGGATTAAAGCCCCATCCCCCTTCCCTGACAGATGCATCTGAGAACATAAGCCCATCAAACGGCTGGGGATGCTCTGAATGCCACGCTTGAAACATGGCAGGTTTTTACACCACTCCACCATGTCCTCAGGTCATCCCTGAGGTCTTTAATTATTGAGAGCTCATAGCTACCCCCGCACCCCACACTGCCTGCACAGCTTCCTCCACCGTGCTGTACTCCTGTCACCCTCTGCTTCATGAATAAAACAACCCTTTGTACTCTCCAGGCAGCCCTAGCACTGCTCTCGTTTGGGAAGGCGGAAAGGAGTCACTCCTTTCCCGTGTCCCCTACATTGCTGCTCACGCAGCATTTTCCTGCTCTCCACGGGCCTGCGTTGTCTTGACCCTTTCTTGTACCAGGGAGAATATTCTCACCTAATATCTGGTCTGCTCTTTTTATCTACTGCCCCCCTGCCCCAACGTATCTTGTGCTGGGCAATAACCTCTTTATAACATGAGACTCACGGGGCTGAATCAAAATGCACCCTGGGTGTAACAGCCTCTGGTTCAATGGAGTTACACGTAGGCGGTGGGTATAAGAGGCCAGGGAAAGCCAAGCCTCCCCACCAGCCTCATCCTTTTCTCCTGAGGCTCACCCTCTTCCCCTCCCTGTTCCTTCCACATGGGAGCCTCGCGGGAGGGGGTGAAGAGGTAAGTGTGAGCAGCCAGCTGAAGGGCAGGTGGGTGGGCAGGGGATCCGGGGGTGGGGGCAAAGAGGCACATCAGCTGGCTTGCGGGTGGGCGGACAGGGGTGAAGAGGCACGAGCGGGGGGGGGGAAGCAGGGGGTGATGAGATGTGCACGTGATTGGGGGGGGACCTCGGGGAGGGTGTGAAGAGGCATGGTCATGGGGGGCCTCTGGGAGGGGGTGGAAAGGTTTGGGCGGAGCACGGGCAGGGCTTCTGGGGGAGGAGGCTGAGTGGGGGCGGGTTTCGGGGCAGGGCCCCAGTCCGGGTGCGCGCCATCTCCCCAAATGGAGGAGTCACATGCTGCCCATGGAGTTACAGCAGGAATGAATTTGCCCTTTTCTGACTATGGCTGTAGAATATGCTACTTTTTTATTTTAATTTATTTTTATGATATGAGATGTCTCTGAGTTAGCCATTGGTTTACAAAGATCAGAAGCTTTTCCCCCATCTTTTGCTCTGTTTCCCCCCTTGGTCTAGAAGGTCTGACCACGCTACTGCAATGTTGCTTATGGTCTAAGTAGGAGGGATAAAATCTCAGCATATGAGAGCTTCTGGAGACTCTTTTGCCAATGCATTATTTCTTTGAGAAGGCATTCTTTAAGCACAACTATCTTTACATACATAGTTCAGCTCCTACATGCAGAATCCTGTCTCTCTTGCTATCTCAGCAGGACGGTCTGCTGAGGTCTGCTTCAATTTAGTAGCCTAGTGTGGGCATCTGCCACTTCCTTCAGACAGAAGGATAAGTTGATGTCATGATGTATAGAATCAAAGTCTGTCTAAAACCAAGTTGGGTTTATTATAGAATCTACACCTACAGACTTCCACCCAGCTTGAGTTGCAGCTTTGTCTTCCCTCCTTATTGGGGAATACTCACTTGTCGGCTGCACAAGAGAGTGGCTGAATAACATACCGCAAGTAAACGTATATCATTACAATCGGCAGCCATTTAAAAACCTGAACCAGTGAGAGCCTGGAAAGAGTGTGGAACGGAACTTTGTCATGCCGGATATGGGACTACAGCCAACTTCAGGGACCGAGGCTGGAACTCAGACTAACACTATGGAGATTTCAGAGCTGCCCATTCCAGCTCTGTCATCTGTTAATGAGATCTCAAAGCTTCCAGCAATTTTCAGTTCAGCCACCACTCTCCAGGGTAAATGCCATCACCTCATACACCTTCGAAGATAGAGATGTATTGTTTTTCCCCAAGGGAGGGATCTGTGTGAGCAATTGTCTCTCCTGGATGGATTCTTTTCCTTCATCCTTTAATCTCTCCCATCTCTGTGGGGAAGGGGTCAGTGCTGACAGGGGGTGCCTAGGAATGGAAGAGCACGAAGAGATATTTTTAATGTAGTGGCTGTCACAACACCAAACACTTCTCATCTTTATTGCCTGCCCTCTGCATAATCATACAGACAGATAAAACAAAGCCCACTGTGAACCATGAGAGATGTGAAACAGTTACAGATAGGTTGCTAGCCCTTACCTAGTGCTATGGATTCAACCAAGTGGCCAGCTCTGAAGTAGTGTCCTGTCTCTGGAGTCCTATATTTTAATTAAAAAATTGTTACGACAGTTCGTGGTTGCCTGCTGTGTGCAGTCTGTGGAGGCCTTTCTGTTCTGGGGCTAGGGCTAGGAAGGGGAGTTTGGTGCCCAGCTTGCATGCTGAGATTGTACTAATGGATGGAAGGATCGGGGTGCTGGAGCTCTGTTGTATCCCAGCAGCGTTCCAGCCCCCACGATGCTTCTCTGTTAGTTGCCAGGTTATTGCCATGTGTTTAAAATTACATTTAAATACTGACTGGTTAAAGGAGCCAAATAGCAAGGATCATATTAAGATTTTAAGGCAGCTTCTTCCATCAGTGTTATACCAGAGTAACCACACACAAGCCAAGGGAGAAAGCAAAGGTGTGGCAGTGCACATGCACGCACAAACCCCACGTGGACCAACTAGTGCAGATCAGCATTGCTCCATTTTTTTTTTTTTTACACCAGCTGAGGGATCTGGCCCTGTATGGCCAGGATCTAGCCAAGTGATAAATTTCAGAGCCATGCAGCAGAGAAATTTTATCCTGCACGTTTTGACTGCTTCACCTGCCAACTGATCTACCCCGCCTCCCAGCATTGCTCTAACATTCCAAACGCCCGAGCAGCTCTAAACCGCTGCTCTCATTGTGGCAATTCATTAGACTGGTGTAAACAGCCTAACTCCACTGATTTCAATGGAGTTAGTCCAGGTTTACACTGACAGCAGAATTTGGTTGGAGAACGGAGGCTAGAATTTGGTTGTCACAACAGTTGGTTGTCACAACAGTAGCTAGAACTAAAATACCCTCCTGCATCCTGAGCGGTATTTATGTATTTGGTGCAACGTGACTATGACATTAGGTGAAGTCCTGATTACATCAAAATGCTTTTGCTTAGTGGTCTGGCTTCGTTACATCTCAAAGTCCAAACGTGACCGTTCTAGTCTAGCAGCGCTTGACTGCTGCATGGGGAATTGGAAAGTATTGTATAAATAAGTTAGCTTCGGGGCGTGCAGAGCTTCATATAGACAAACCGGGTTTTAATGATGCTTTACAGTAATTGGCGACTACAAAATGGAGTCACTTCCCCCCCCCGGCCCCTCTCTCTCCTTGCAGGTGTTTCTGAAAAGTGATCGTGTGGCCCGGATGGTGCAGAGCGGGGGTTGCTCTGCAAATGACTCTCGAGAAGTTTTCAAGAAGCACATTGAGAAGAGGGTGCGCAGCCTGCCCGAGATCGACGGCCTCAGCAAGGAAACGGTTCTCAGCTCTTGGATGGCAAAATTCGATGCTATTTACCGTGGCGAAGAGGATCCACGCAAACAGCAGGCCAGGATGACTGCCAGTGCTGCCTCGGAGCTGATCCTCAGCAAGGAACAGCTGTACGAAATGTTCCAGAACATCTTGGGAATCAAGAAATTTGAGCATCAGCTGCTGTACAATGCGTGTCAGGTAAGGGTCCCTCCCCATCTCGGGGGATCTAGTCTTTGATGGTACCTCATGCGCCATTTTGCTGTCATTATCTTTGCCTTTATACTGCCAGCTTGCCAGTATAGAGGGGAAGCACACGTCAGTGCATCCTGTAGGAAATCATATTAGTATTTGAATTTCAGATGCACAAGGGGTGAACATTTTATGCAAACTTGCTTGTTGAGATTCTGCTGGATTGTCTGTGACCTGTGCACTGTTGTGAAGCTAATAAGGCTAAGCAATAACCAAATCCTACTACTCTCACTCATGCCTGACCCCAATGGGACCACTCCATGAGTTAAGGGAGAAAGGATTTACTACTTAATAATGGGGGTTTTTCGCCTTCCTCTGCAGCATGGGGCATGGGTCACTTGCTGGAAGATTCTCTGCACCTTGAAGTCTTTAAACCATGATTTGAGGACTTCAATGGCTAAGACACAGGTTTGATAGAGGAGTTGGGTGGGTGAGATTCTGTGGCCTGCATTGTGCAGGAGGTCAGACTAGGTGATCATAATGGTCCCTTCTGACCTTAAAGTCTATGATTCTAATCCTTGCTGCTTGTGGTACCACTGGCTGGGCAGGTAAGGGTCTCTGGGCTTCCACTCCATTCTTCCCCCTTTCTCAGTCCCCTCTGCCTGCCTGTAAAGGGACAGTGGGTGGTGAAGAGGGGGCCGAAATGCATGGTGAGGTATGGAGGGAGGTGAGATAAGAGGAGAAACAAATGGAATTGGAAGGAGATCACGCTTGTAGGCTTTAAATTCGAGCTCAGGCAGTTCTTTGTTCCTCTGTGTGAGAATTTGCTCTAGGAATGATTCTGGGGAAGTTCTATAGCCTCTGTTCTACCGGAGGCCAGACTACATAATCACAATGGTTCCTTCTGCCTTTAGAATCTATGAACCCTTTGAGGTTCACTGACCATAGTTTGCAGCTTTGCTGTGGTCCATCCAACTTGTAATTGCATCTCCTTTGTCTGAACCAGCCTGGTTTGATTAACTACGGCTTTGTCTTCACTGCTAAAAGAGGTGAGTTTTTACTGCAGGATAAGTAACTCAAGTTCCCTATCCTCCTGTAAAATGCTAGTGGAGACAAGGCACCTGTAGTGTTTATCACGAGGTAACTAGGTGAGGTCAGCCACGGGCAAGGAACAGTGCTGTCCTCATCTAGCTACCTCGTGATAAACACTGCCTCCTCTCCGCTAGGATTGTACAGCAGGACAGCTAACGCATATTACTTATGTCCTGATTCCTCCGTCTTTTTGGCAGCGGAGACTTAACCTTAGATGGACTATTTAGGGATCCTCTGAATGCAGACTCTGCAACAGGGACCAATAGGACATTCACTACAGAGTAAAAATACCCTCCAAGCTATTTCCAAGGAAGACTGAGATCTTGGCCTCCCCACTGTATGGAGAACGAAATGATTTTATCACTTTCTCCCCTCGATTTGGTAATTTGTGCCCAGTAAAGATGAATTTTGCACCATTTTCTGTTCTCCTAGTTCAGATGATCTTCGCATTTCCATTTTCAAGACGGGGGTTATTTTCTGTGCCGTGTTTTCCCCTCCAAGTGGGTTGTAGCCCACGAAAGCTTATGCTCTAGTAAATTTGTTAGTCTCTAAGGTGCCACAAGTACTCCTGTTCTTTTTGCGGATACAGACTAACACGGCTGCTACTCTGAAACCTCCTGACTAAATTAATTCTCTCCTTTTCCCCCCTTTTTCATCTCTGTCATTTTAAAAAAAAAAAGAGAGTGAGAAATGTGTGACAATGAAAAAGGATCTAATCAGCATTACAGCTCTGGTTAATAACATGGCTTCTTGGCAGAGACTCTGACGAAGAAGGACTTAAGTAGCAAATGGGCAGGGCAGCCCAAAGCATATCCTGGTTCAGGGTGTACTCTGCAGTCCCATGACCACAGGGCCATAAATATGTAACCCAATAAGACTTGGCAGATTTCCTTTGTGTGCTGAAGTGCTTCTGACCACAAACTGCACAATGCTGCTGTAGCCAGACTGTAGGACATGTTGGTGTCTGGCCTCAGCAGTTTAAAAAATGGCACAAATGATATGTGGTTTTCTGATTAGTCTTGAGATTGTCTCAAGGAGCAGGAAATGCTCCAGAAAATGGCAGAAAATGATTATTTTCACCGTGATGGGCCCTGGATTCTTTGTAAATTTCTATGGGTATCATCAATCCCTAAACTGTGTGTTTGTCTGTGGGTGTGATACAAAAGTTATTCCGTGCATTGTTAAGACACGTTTCTCAAGGAAAATAGTTTCTCAGATTGATCAGTAGTTGAGAGGCAAACTGAATTACCCAGACTGTTGTTTTTTCTTGCAGCAGTGTTCTCAGATACATCTGAACAATGGTTTTTCCTTGACCCGCAGTGTTGATCCATCGACCTTGGAAAGGGAGTTACTTTCCAAGTGACTTCAGCGTAAAGTTAGCTTGCCCAAGTAGGAAGTTTAGCATTTGTTTTTTATTACCCTGTATTTCCATTCATTCTAGCCTACTTTCTCTCCCTGAATAATCCCTGGTTGTTGTTTAGGAACACCACTTAATGCACTCACTCTGGATTGATGGAGCAGATAGTTACTTGTAAAACAGGATTGCTGCCCAGAACCCACCTGCTAGGAGATGCAAAAAGCAGTGTACTCTGTAGCATTTCCTAGAGCCTGAGAGTGACATCTGAACAAAGGTCCCTGCTCCAGCTGGATCGACGAGTGAAATTGCCAAGGTCATGCCCGAATCCCGTGTGGACAGCTTTACTCATATGCGTCCACTGCACAGCTAAACTATCTGAAATCATTGTGGCCAACCCCATGCACTCAAAAATCTTGTCATGTCTCCCCCAACCCCCAAAACCGTGAGATTGGCTGAAAAATCTACAGAGCGAGATGATCAGAGAGCCATGCAAACAGTCATTTAGTGCACCAGTGATCAGGCCAAAAAAAAAGGGGGCGAGTTGGGTTATAAACCCAAATGGCACATGATTTACCTCTGAACACCGGATACTGCCAATGGTGTCACTCCTGCACTAGCCGTAGGATCATCCAGTGGTTTGCCAGTTCCTGTTGTGGGTCAGACACCAGGGCTCCATTGTAGCCAACTGCCAGTCTGGGCCTTTGACACGTGTGGACACTGCAGACTGTCTGGAAGTCAGTCCTAAACCGGACTTAAATTGGGCAGGAGGCACCTTTAACTGAGACACTGACATTAGTCACCCTTACTCCAGCTTGCCCTACGTAGCAACAGCCAGTGAGAGTGTACGCCCCTCCGTTTGCATTAGCCACCTGGTTCCTGCCTGCACCTCATCCTCCAGCCCACCCTTGCCCAAGGCGCTTCTGTCACATGCACTGAAGTGTCAATTACCCTGCCATCTCGCCTACGGGCCCCAGGCGACTCTGGTGGCTACCTCTAATCATTGCTGCACTACCCGACAGTCTTTCGGGGGTGGGGGGAAGATATACTAACACTGCTGTACCAATTGCAAATGGCTAGCTGAGCTCCTGTCTTGCATACAATATTCCCTGCAGTCAGCTTGTTAGTTTTACTGCTAGCAGGAAAGACTTTAATGCTCGGTTTGTTTCGTCCCTCTTTTGGAATCCTCACTGAAGAAGCAAAGCTGCAGTTAGGCTTTTGAGAGAGGTGTATTTTTAAAATTGAACATGCGAATGCTACTATGAGTTACTATGCTGTTTGTAATATCTGATTGGTAACCATCGGAACTATACCAAGGGAAGGCACCTTATATAAAGCTCTACTTGGAAACCTCCAAGCTTGTAGCATAGGCCTTTTGCCTAAGGAGACTTTTCTTGGAGGCTTGGTTTAGTTTTTGATCCCTGTCTCTGTGACCAGACTGTGGAGAAAAGTAGACATGCTTTTGGAGCCAAATTATCCTCTAAATTCAAGCGTTGTCTTTGGTAGGGATTTTAACTAGCTATCAGAATAGCTGCCTGAGTGCAAACTTCTAGTGTGCACAATTGCCACCAGGATAAACAGTGCAACAGTGCTTGAAACTGGGGAAAGCAGCACTGGTCCTCGTAATTGGGGTGGATCCCCAATGCAGACAACATCTTGTACTGGTGATCGCCTGGAACCAGTCCCTTGCAGTCAGTGGCGATACAGCAGCACAAGCAGAGCCGGCTCCAGGGTTTTTGCTGCCCAAGCGGCAAAAAAAAAAAAGAAGAAAAAAAAAAAAGCCGCGATCGGCGACAGCTCCACCGCGCTGCTTTCTTCTTCGGCGGCAATTTGGCGGCAGGTCCTTTCCTCCAAAAGGGACCGAGGGACCCGCCGCCGAAGAGCCCGACGTGCCGCCCCTTCCCCTTGGCCGCCCCAAGCACCTGCTTGCTGGGCTGGTGCCTGGAGCCGGCCCTGAGCACAAGTGAGGAGAAACAGTCTCCCAGGACAAAAATAAAACCACATGCATATTAGAATTCTTTTTGCTTGGATAGGAAGATCAGAATTGCCAGATTGGGTCAGCCCCATGGTCCATCTAGCCCAGTATTCTGTCTCTGACAGTGGTTCAGGGTTGGCTTAAGCCCTGAAGCAGGAGGGTTTCTCTCCTTTCCTGAACTCTTGTTTCTTTGTTAATGCTTCCTACTAAAAGTGTGGGTGTTCTTGTGGCCCATGGGAGACTTGGAAAGGCGCAAGTGGGGGTTAAGTGCTTAGTTCCCATTGACTGTTGCTGGAAACCATGCACCCAAGTGCTTCTGGTGCCTCAGAAAGTCTCCCCCGTGCAGCCTGCCTGAATGCTGCTGAGCTCATGTTTGTGTGTGATGTTTCGTTGTTGTTGTTTTTTTAAGTCTGACCCCAATTAGAGAGAGAGAGACACCTGCCAACATTTGAAAACTATAAATAGAGACCGTCAGAGAGAGAACTGAGATACATCATGTAACACCACTGACATGCCTTGGGTTCAGGGAGTCTCTGGACACAGAGTGAGGGAAAACGAAAGATGTTTTGCGTATATAAATAAAGAGTG